AACGAAAAATATCGATTTTTAAACGATAATGTTCTTTAGGAAAATCGTCTGAACATGTTTTCGATCTCTTGAAAATTCTATATGATATAAGTTCAGTATTTACATTTTTTTTCCATAATAAATCTCTATAACTTTAATCGTTGAAATAATGTTTACGATTTTACTTCCATTTCTGCGCGCATAAATTTTATATCGTATTTTTTGTCAACAATAATTGAATTAATGACGTTAAAATAACGTTAAATAATCAACGTTTAAACTGCAACGTTGATTTAACGTTGAAATAACGTTAAATAATCAACGTTTAAACGGTAACGTTGATTTAACGTTGTGACATAGTTGAACAACGTTGAATCAACGCTTCAACCGAATTTCAACGTTGAAACAACGTAATAATGCCGGCTGGGATATAATATTTATGCGCGCGCAGAAATGGAAGTAAAATCGTAAACGATTAAAGTTATAGAGATTTATAATGGAAAAAAAATCTAAATACTGAACTTATATCATATAGAATTTTCAAGAGATTAAAAACATGTTCAGTCGATTTCCCTGAAAGAACATTATCGTTTAAAAATCGATGTTTTTCGTTTAACTTGGGCTACAATGCTCAAAGACTGATATTATTAAATGTAAATATAATACAGCTTTTTCAAAAAATCATCCATTAAATTATGTTGAATTTAATGTTAAGCGTTGTTTTTTAATAGAGCATCAAGAATTAAAAAAGGAAATTGATAACTTTAAAAAAGAACTTCAGCACGAAATAAAAAAATAAAGATTTATTTGAAAAATTAACTTCAACGACATTAGTTATTACTATTAAAACAGACAAACTTGTATATAAACATAATCCAAACAAATCGTGTTATTGCAATTTACTTGTATACAAACATTTATTTTAAAAATAATAGATCTTGCGACGTTTATACTGGCCTTACATCTGTCAATGTGTTTCATCAGTTAGTGCAGTATCACCATTAATCGAAAAAGATAAAGTGATATTAAAAAAACATTTACTTCTGTTTTTTGAAATTTAAAAAAATCCTTAATTACTTGGACCAAAATAAATGTAATGCAGCAAAGATGAATTTTTAATGATGCTAATACTTGGATTATTGACAGCTGATTTTGCTGCCAGGTTTAATATATTTTTAGGATTAGCGAATGCAATATTTTCTTCATTGTTGAAAGCTTCTAGCTCACTTTAAACCACATGGTTTTTGTTCCAAATAAAGATGTTATAAGACAGGCAATGCAAAACAGATTTTAGAAATTAAATTATTCAGACTAACACTAAATTTCAGATATAACAGAATTTATTATGGAAACACCTTAAAATTTTGACTTACAGAAACTAACAGGGAATGAATACAAACATTACAACAATATAAAAACATTAGTACCCTTAGCTCCAAATTAATTAATAATTTTTTTCAAAAATTTCTAAAGCTTACAGTAGCTAAATTTTGGATAAAAAAAATTACATATCGCAACAACTATTTAATTGTATTACAAAATACTATTGTATAATGTATGATTAAGGCTTTAATATTAACTTTTTAATAGAAATGAAGTGATTTTAATTAAATCTATTTTTATCAGTCACTTTAAAAATATGATGAGTATTTATATAAAGATAATTAAAATTTTAAACAATAATATTAGCTTTACTTGTTTTTTTTTTTAGGTGAATCAATTGCAATTGATGGAATATCTTTAAAATGCTGAGGTAATCAAAATAATTTTAAATTATTCAGGAATTTTAAGAATTCAATTATTTAGCAAAAAAATTGTTTGATAATGAGTTCAATTTAAATTAAAAAAAAAAATAATAATATTAGTTTTCGCACAATTAATATCAGTTTGCTTATCTATTAAAATTTAGAATATTTTCCAACAATTTTGTGACCTCCATGAATATGAAGGGGAAAGGTGGAAATATGCTTTAAGAGCACTAATTTATATGGTGTAGTGAAAGGTATACCTTTATAAGATATGTAAAGCTTTTTTATTCTCATTTTTTATATATTCAAAAATTTCTCCTTGTGTTTTTTTTTTTGTTTTTTTTCTAATTCTTTTTTATTAACAGCTTCTTCTATTAAATACGATGGAGCGACTGAAACTTTATTTAATGGTATTTTGTCTAACTTCTAAAAATGCGCTTCATTTCGAAAAGGTGGCGGAAAAGTCACTAATCTAAAAAAATCTAAAATTTCTTTATTGAAATATTTACATATATTTCAATAAAGAAATATTTTCTTTTTGTCTGCTGATATTTTTTTTTTCAGTGTTAATTCAACATTACAAATTAAAACTCAATTATGAAAAAAGCCTAGAGTACAATTGATGTTTTAAGTATAATAAGAAAAGCCCAAAAAGTAACTGATGTAATATTTTTTTTTTTGATAAAAAAAAAAAAAAAACTAATAATGTTTAAAATTGGTATTAATATTAATGTTTATTAGATGAAGATGAGTAAAAAATAAGTAATGTTTATTAGATGAAGATAAGTAAAAAAATAAGTTACAAGTTTTTTTTTGGTCTTGAAAATTGTTTGAATGACAATTTATTATTTATCAAAATATTTTCTTTTTTAATTTTTGTTGTTTTTATATTTTAATTAAAAACAGATATTATTGTGTCATATATTATAATATACCTTATATTATACTATTATATTTTATATTAATAATGAGTATTTTTGTTTTTTTGTATTTCTGTTTTTTTTCAATATTCCATAATTATCATTTATAATTAGGGTGTCTGCAGCTCCTCTAAAATCATCTAAAGTCCTCTTTTTTTTAAAACCACTTCTAAAATCCTCTATTATCCTCTAAAGAGGTAAAAATTTGATCAAAGCTCCTCATTAATTCTTCCTTTTTTAATTTTTGATGATGTATAATGTTGAAAATACCCATTCTCGGTCTGCAAAACTGGTTAACGCCTTAAAGTGCATGGAACTGTAAAAAATTGCTTTAGAAAATGCATGCTATTTAACATAACAAAAGACATTATTTGATCCCTGTCCAAGCCCCATTTGTGTATAAACATGGACGTTAAACCATTAATAAAAAGCCACATAAAATTTCTTATAAAAATTTTAAATGGCCACCCCCGAAAATTAATTTTCAATGCTAGAAATGTTTTATATTTTGATTATTAATTTATTTTTAATATATTAAAAAGGTTGTTTTATTTAAATTAAATATTTAAAAAAGTTATTAATAACCAACTAACAGTTAGATTATTTTTTTAAAATTCAGAGTATTTTCGAAAAGTTATATGGCCTCCATGGATATGAAGGGCAAAGGTGGAAAAATATGTTTTAAGAACACTAATCTATATGGCGTTGAAAAAGATATACCTTCATAAGTTGTAACACTTTTCCATTCATTATTTATTTTTTAGATCTTCCCTTTTTGTTTTTTTTTAATATATTTTTTTTATTTACAGCTTCTTCTATTGTATTCAATGGACCAAAAGAACCCTCGGTTAATGGAACATTGTTTGACTTTCTAAATTACGCTTTATTTCAAAAAGGTGGTGGAAAAGAGAAGAAATTTGTGTAGATTTTATTCAATTACATGTAAATATATGTAATATTTGAATATGTATTTTTGAATAAAACAAGTTTTATCTCTTTCTTTAATCATACCTAGCTATATTAACTAAACTGAACTGAAAAAGTTCTGAATAGTCTAAGTATAGACTATGAATAGATTTAATACACATAATATACCTTGATAATGTACAGCAACACTAATGTACATGCATAGTACGTTTTGATGGTGATCATATTTTGACGCACATAGCACGTTTACATACATATATACATTTTGACATACATAGCACGTTTTGATGGTGAAAAAGTGTTTTACAGTCGTTTAACGTTAATAAATCAACGTTAAAAAAAACAACATTATAAACGTTGTACCAACGTAAATTCAACGTTGTTGTAACGTTTTTTCGCGTCGAATCAACGTTGATATAACGTTTGAATTTAACGTTGATTTAACGTTGATAAATCAACGTTGAAAAAAACTTTCATTCTAAACGTTAAATCAACGTTAATTCAACGTTAGGTTTTAACGATATTTCAACGTTATTTGCCGGCTGGGATATATATATATATATCCCACCAAGCATTTCAACGTTGATTCAACGTTGATAACGCGTTGATTTACAGACGTCGATTTATTCGTCGAATTGGAAACAAAATATCGACGTTGAAATATCAACATTGTTTCGACGTCAATAAATCAACGTTGAGCGTACGTTGATTTACAAACGTTGATTTAACCGTTGATTTGGAAACAAGAAATCGACGTTGAAATATCAACATAGATTCAACGTCAATAAATCAACGATGAACTTACGTTGATTTAAGCGTTGATTTGGAAACAAGAAATCTACGTTGAAACATCAACATCGATTCAACGTCGAAAAAACAACTTACGTTTTATAAACGTTTTCGAAAGATAACATTTAAAAAATTTACAAAAAAGTATTTGTTACAAAGTTTAATAAGTGGGGGAAAGTAAGATTTTATTAAGAGTTTAAGAGTTTATTTTTATTTTTCGCTACTACTTCCGCTTTTGTTTGATGCAACGTCACATTCTACTTCGCATTCGTCGTCACCTTGATTTATTTCTTCATCGCTTTTGTGAACTTCATCGTTTTCTATTTCGTGGTTGCAAGATTTCCGTTTACCTCCATTCAAACGATAAGGTGCATATTTTAGGCAGGAGGAAATAAATGACCTAGTTTCTTTGTCTGTTGCTTTAGGCTCACAGCGCCTAATCGGTTCTAAAAAGTAAATGCAAAAATATCAAATTTGGTCAAGTGAATAAAACTGTAGATAAAGGAAGAAAGAATGTCTTCAATTTACACTATTTAATACGAATACATGAAGTTTACAACTTTAATGTAAACTGATTTAATTTTATTTTTCAATTTGTTCAAGGAAGATTTTTATATCTACTTTTTTTGAATTCAACTAAATTCATTTATTTTCAACAGGCAGCCTTTAAAAAGAAATATAAATATATAAAAATATAGAGATCAACATTATAGCTACCAATTATTGCTTTGTAAACATTTAACTTTTCCATAGGTAACTTCACAGTAACCTTTCCCTTGGAACCAACCAAATTGAACTTCGATTGAAGTCTGTTTGTCATCAACCTTAAACATGTCAAAAGAGAAACTCAACATTATTTTTCTATAATTAAAAATCGCTTTTAAAAACTAATTTTCTTTGCAAAAATAGTAAGTACTATTTATTTAAAAAATGTTTCAACCTGTTTATCATGTTTGCAACACTTTTTTTACCATTGTTACCGCCAATGGAAGATAGCTGATTAACCTGATATAAAAATAAAACAATATCTATAGGAGCAATGTGGCAATATTGCATAATAGAGCATCTAGATCTTCAATGGAATTTTTAGATAACATCCTAGCAGATAAAAGGTCAGGTTATCCTGCTACTAGTAAGTGACCGGGGCCATGGCCCAAAACAGAGCTTTTTACAAATCCGGCACCGGCCCCGGGTTACTAGCTGGGGTTAGATTTTTTTTATAGTATTGTAATCTTTTTCACTGTTTTTGTTTATTTTGTTTAAGCTAATATCTGTTATGAAAGTTAAAGAAAATATTTAAAAAAAGTCATAAATACATTTAATAAATATTTAGATATTTATTTAATGTATTTATGACTTTTTTAAAATATTTTCAGGGCTCAGGGCCTCTTATCATCATCAGCATCATTTATGTGGATCTCCTGAAAATCTTGACTTCAGGGCGGTTTGCCAATGAGGAGGGGTGTTTTTTAAAAATACCCACAAATTTACCTATAATGGTCAATTTCAGTATAATAGTCAATTTAGTGTAAAATATTTTAAATTTGTATTATTTTGTCGTAAGTATAATATTTAAATATTATACTTACGACAAAATAAATAGATTCACATAAATGATGGTGATGATGATAAGGATAATGATGACAATGATGATGATGGTGATGATCATAATGATGATGATGATGCTAATGATCTTGATGATGATGATTCTAATAATCATGATAATCATGATGGTCGGGAGTTGATGATATACACATTTATAAAAAATATACTTATAGGATCTATCAATGTAAATGTAGCCATGTTCATCACACAAGATTTTAATCTAATCAACACTATATTTAAATGAAAAATAACTTACAAACTTTTTAAAAACCCTTTTGTCAGCTCCAAGTTTTCGATCGAACTCATATAAAGCGTCTATATCATCAAATTGTATTATTATCTCTCCTTCAACATCTTTCATTCTGGTGCCACTAACTGCATCTAACTTTTTGGATATTTCACTCATTTGCAAGGTTATTTGGGCCAACCTCCGTAATACTATATGTTGAAATCCTGAGTTTGAAAACAAAAAGTACTTTATAAATATAATATATATATATATATATATATATATATATATATATATATATATATATATATATATATATATATATATATATATATATATATATATATATATTTGAGAGCTGAGCTGCAAGGAGACAGGAATTTCTTCCATCCCCACCTATCTCGCAAACATTTATTGGCCTTTTCCATGACAATAAATGATATACTTGAATGAATATGTTGCATACAAAACAACAGCAAGTTGAAAGACAGCTGTAAATCACAAATGATATAGTAAAGAAACCTACCATTATCTTCGAGATTTTTTGAGCTAATTAACTCGTCCCGAGCACAAGCAGAATCTCTTCTATTGTAATTAACATAAGATTGAGAAATAACAGCAGGTGAATTGGTGGAAATATTTGTGAATGAGCTTTCTAACATACTAGTAGTAGTCTGACTGTTTAATGTTGGTTTGCGTATAGAAAAATCATCACATGTAGAAGAGGTAGTAGTTGAAAGAAATGGCTTTGGTATGTGAGCTGTTGATAAAGCAGTAAGTCCAGAATAACCACCATGTATAGAAGAGGTTTGAGTATAACCTTTAGAAACCAATTTAACATTAAAATAGTTTGACATAACATTTATTATAGTGAAAACCATTAATATGTTATTTTGAAAATCTAAAAAAAATTTAAATAATTTAAAATAAATATGTCACTAAGGCAAAAGGTACCAGATGAAATTTTTTGACTTGAATTGTTCCTTTTTGCTTATTGTGGAACATCTGTATCCAGCGTAACAGTTCCTATGAAAGAAATTATATTATTATACAAGAATATTATTATTATACAAGAAAACCATAGTGTTATAAATATAATCATTTTTGAGTATTATATATCATTTTTACTTATTGGCATTTTCGGTGGAACTGGCTTTGGAATATACTTAATAATTGCATGTCTTTTTTCAGATAAGCTGGGACAACTCATAACCATCATTTCATTGTTATCCAGTTCTCCAGCTGTCACATTATCTCCATACTCTTCACATACTTCTTTGTCATCATCTAGGATGGAATCAATTAATGTTTACATTGAAAGTCTTATTATAAGAAAAAAACATAATGATGACTGTTATTTATTTAGTAAATTTAGTGAGCACTCATTAAATATATAAAAAGACCTATAAATAATTTAAAATTATATCTTTAAAGAATTTATTTTAGAAAGAGACATCAATGAAGTGCTTTAAGAGTATAGTGGGCATTCGTTTAGTCATGCGATTAGTAACTCAATCATTTGATGGAGTTACTAATTTAAGTGATCATCGAAAACATTGCAAATAAATTAGTCGAATTGAAAGAACCCATAAAAAATAATAATTTTGTGTAAATATTTTTTATAAATAAAAATAAAATATTTTTTAAAAACATTTTTATATATTACATCATTTAATATTATTAAATCTTCAATTACCAGTTAGCTTGATGTATTTCAGTTTGAATTGATACCAATCATCAGTTGGATTGGATATTTTTTTCATTGATGACTCAACATTTTTATTAGGCCAAAATACTTTGTTACACTTTACCCAGTTTGATGGAAGAGTCTGTTCATATTCCTCTAATGAGCCATCTTTTGCATATTCAAACCATACTGCTCTGGTCCAAGACATTTTGTTTGTGAAATTGACAATTATAGTAAACCTGTTTATCTAACTCAAAAGAAAAAAATTAATCTATTAATAGTTTAATATAATAGTGAAATTATTAAAATAAATGTGAAAGAAATTAATTATTATATGTTTTAAATGTATATATATATATATATATATATATATATATATATATATATATATATATATATATATATATATATATTATATATATATATATATATATATATATATATATATATATATATATATATATATATATTACAAAATAATAACAGTAAAAATAGAAATTAAAACAAAATTATGTAGCTGTAAATTTTACCTTTTTTTGAAATGGCTTCTAATGACTGTATAAATAAAAATATTCTTTTTATACCAGTTGAAAATAAGGAAGTCAGACATATTGATAATGCTAAAATACTAATAGTTAAACTTTTTCTCAGACTAATTGCTTAATTATATAAATGCTCTGTTTATACTAGCTAAAAATTAGCAAAGCAGACATCCTCAATTATTAAATTGCTGCAATAAAACAAATAGTGATAAATATTTTTACTATTATCAAATAATGCAATTTAATTATTATCATCAATTTTTTGTACATATAATTATTGTTAGTTTATTTTTTTTCATTAAAAAAAAAAGCGAAAAATATTTAAAAAAACAAAATACTAAAATCTTACTTAAAAACAATGATAAAAAATAAATAATATAAACATTATTATAATATCTATATTTGTTCATTAATTGGTTTTTTAATTTTAATAGAAAAAATATTATTTGTAATTGAAGACTATAGCGCTCAAATTACTTAAGTCACACAAAAAAAAATTTAGAGAAAACATATTTCAATCATTTTATTTATATAGCCTTTTTGTTGTAAAAACTTAAAGTAAATGCATTATGTAATAATTTATTTTTTCTTTACTTAATTATTATATTTCTTGATTTTTATTTAGTTACTTTGTTTATAAACTTAAATTTTAAAAACAAAAAGATTTTACAAATAAAAGATTAAAATATATTTTCTGACAACATTTTCTTTGTGAATTAATACTTTAAGCACTAAGGTCTTCAATTATTATTGGGATTTTTATCTAAGTATTTATAACTTTTTTTTATACAAAACAACTCTTTTATTTAATATAAATAATTCAAAAATTTACATTGTGGTGTAACGGCACCAACACATACCCATCATTGTATGGAATACCACATACTTTTTTAATAATTAGATCTTTTTTTATAAATTGTTTCTTGAATTGTACATTTTTATGAAGGAAATATATATGCAACAACTTAGAACAACACGGATCATCAAAAAACCCATCCAAATCAGATATTTGATAGACATAGCATTCTATATCATTACCAATGACATTATTTACACGCACTACTTTTTCTCCATGAATGAAAAACCATCTATTTTTATTTCCAATTGAAATCTTAGTTTTTGATTGTTGTTTGCTTCTTGTTACACAACATTTCTCTATCTCCTCTATTCTTTTTGTCAATTGTGACAAGGGACTTTGTGCCCTGCGCACATAAGATTTTAGAATGCCTAGATAGTTTTCAAAAGGAAAAGCAGATATATCTTGTAAACTGCAGCTGTGGTTGACCACATCTTCATACAGATGTGTCAAACTATGAACATTATAAGTAACGAACTCTTGTCCATAAAGAAATGATGACCGATATACAAACCATTCCAAGAGCCCTTTTGCATACATTAACAACTTATGATCATTCAAAAAATCATTATCAATCATTATACTCATAGCAACTGATAAGCTTAAGAAATGTGTATATATTTCTTGAGAAACTTCATTTTTTAAAACAATCATACCGGTATATAAAAGAAAATTTTTGAACTCTGTAGCTTTCCAGCGTTTAAACTCATCAATACCTCTTGGTTGTCTTGCAAACTCGCTGGGCAATTTTCTTGATAATTCTCTAAGTTTTTCAGAAATAACTGCTTTTTGAATCTCTGATATCCTGCATGATCTTTTACCTTCGTTGAAAAAAATTATTATTCTTTTAGTTACTCCTAAATAAACCAAATGCATGATATCTAAAACAAATGATGTAACACATGGTATATTATATTTAGCTAGAGTACATAAAGTTTTTTGGTGTTCTTTGTAACCGTGTAGGTTAAATTCTGTATCATTTCTCAGAGTATATCCTGACCCCAAAAAAATTTGTCTGTGATTAATACGTGCACCGTGAATAATACATCGCTCACACGAATCGTATCCATTATGGCTAATTATAGACTTCAAAAATTGTCGAGCTGGAGCATCACAACAAAATGATTTAAGGGAAACTAAGTAATGTTTATATTGAGTTTTGATTCCATTTTGTAATAAATTTGTTAACTCAGTTACAAAATCAAACATAAAGCTTTCTTCAGATGAAGGTTTGCTCTTACCACAGAAAATAGCTACAGCAAATGGTTGGATACTTGAAAATGAGCAAAGTATGGGCCATAAAGCTACTGACGTGCTTTTAAATAATGGTATTTCAACAATATTAGTTTCCAAACCATAATAAATATAATCGCCACCACACTTATTCTTCAGAGGAATGTTACTTGGAGTTTTCAATAATGTTCTTACATCTTTTGGAAGCTCTGTGTGGCCATTTTTCCTCAAAATAAAAAGAAGTTGATTTGTTGCAGAATGTGAAGTTTGGTTTACAACAACCCTTTCTGCTAATTCTTCACGTAGATTTCCATTTATTATTTTGTCATCTATAAAGTTTCCATGATTCAAGAAACAAGAATTAGAATCAGAACTATCGGAGACTCCGGCGGAGTCAAGATTGGAATCTGAGTCGAAATCTGTTTCTTCAACACCTTCAACTTCTTGCTCAATCAATTCTTCAGAAAGAACTCTATAATCTGAAACATTTATTTGTTGTTTATCTGTTTCTATTGTACTATCTGTCTCAGTAAATAAATCAATTACTGATTTATTAATTTTTCTCCATTGTGTAATCCGTGATGACATAGCAACTAAATACTTTTATTCCTAAAAATAAATAATTAAATATATTTATATTAGGGTGTTAGCCAGGAATATATTTCATACAGATTTTTTGAAATTGTCATATATATATATATATATATATATATATATATATATATATATACATATATAATATATTATACTTTAATTACAAAAATACATTTTGTAATTAAAGTATTATATAATTATAAGTATATATAATATATATATATATATATATATATATATATATATATATATATATATATATATATATATATATATATATATATTATACTTTAATTACAAAAATACATTTTGTAATTAAAGTATTATATAGTTATAAGTATATAATATATATATATATATATATATATATATATATATATATATATATATATATATATATATATATATATATATATATATATATATATATATATATATATATATATATATATATATATATATATATATATATATATATATATATATATATATATATATATATATACATGTGTGTGTGTATACATGTGTATATTATATACCTTACATTATATACATGTGTATATTATATATGTATTTGTTAGGAAACTTTGTTTTACACATTTACACATTTACAAAAATACATTTTGAATTACTTTTTTAACTAAAGCTAAAATTGCTAGAAAAAAAAATTATAATTTACTACTCTGAGAACTAGTTCTCAGAGTAGTAAATTATAATGTTTTTACTAGCAATTTTAGCTTTAGTTAAAAAAGTAATTCAAAATGTATTTTTGTAATTAAAGTTGTGTAAATGTGTAAAGTAATGTTTCCTAACAAAAAGTGAATTCTTTTCAATAATCATTACTAATAATATTAAAATGGCATTGAAGCATCACTACTTCCTGCCAGCAGAATAAAAAATGAAAATTATAAACCAAAAAAACTTGAATTACTTATAATCCATAAATTAAAATATATTTTAGATTACTTGTAAATAGCTATTTACAAAAGTCAAATAAAAGAATAACTCTTTTGTATGAATAATTTGTAAATATTTTACACTTTTTAATAAAGTACAATAAAAAATAGCACATTTCTCCGAGCGATT